CAAGGACATGGCTGTCATTGTGGTTGGATTAGCAAGCCTTTGTATAAAGAATTTAAGTTGACACGTTTTCCAAATTATTCAAAGGAAAATAAGTCAAATAGCTACAATGAAAATATGAAGACACTACCTACATATTCGTCCCGGCAACTACTATATACTATGTTCCATCCTACTTATCTGCGGTGTCCATTTCTGTCTATCTACGCGCATCCGTCTCCGTAACCTCTACCCTTTATTCTCCTTTTCTTTCCCTATCTTCCGCTTCAGACTTCTTATTCCGAAAGAGAGAAGGATCAGGAGTGAAATAGAAGTCAGGAGAGATCAGAGAGAGCGCATCACCACGTCTATACTTGGCGAATGATCGCCGTTGAATGATTGACGGCAGCGTTGCCATTACTGCGGCACGTCTATTACGGCCCGTTTTCTGTGTACAGAGTGATTACACAGAAAACGGGAATTCTAAGGGGGACAAAAATAATGAAGGCTTCCCTTTAACGAGAAGCAACTTTTTTTCGAGAAACGTAATGGAAATAATTACCTTACAATAATGTAAAAATGATGTACAGAGCATTAGCTTTTTATTTATCAAAAAAACAACATTACAATGATATACTTGGTACTGCTCCAAGGAAACCCGACACGTATTAATATCCAAAGATAATGATTAAAATCTTATACTAACACCTTCGCGAAGGACGTACCTATCTCCGTCGTCGTTACAAGGTGAATGCCAACTCGTTAACCAAGTATTCAGTTTCTGACCTTTCTCCCACGTGTAATGGCCAGAGTCGGGTCAAACACACACACACACACATCCTTCAGGCAAGAATTCTTTTGCCATATCGTTTTCTTTAGACTTTATTCAGCTATGATGTATTTCAGCGACTTAGAGGTATATGCATTGGTGGAGGCCACAGTTATTTAGGTTAGAGTAAATAAGTATTGAAACGTAATATTATCGGTTATGTATCTGAACTTTAAAAAGCACTGTGTAAATGCATATCTTCTGCTCATGCTGAAGGTGAGGCCAAACAGAGCACAAGTCGAAGTGACACCACATCACATGACACCAACCCTACCAACAAATCTACCTTCTATCACATATTTCTGCAACTTCCCATGTAAACGTGAACAATGATTCTACAGAAACTGAAAATCGTTATCAACACATGCACACTATTCAAACACACTTACACCCAGGAACTCATAGTGTGCATTCATAGTATCGTATTTATGTGACAAACGAGCTATTAGTTAAGCCTTACATTTTAAGGAGCCTTACAAAGCTTACCAATGATACGCATATAATGAAATTACGCATGAGTTCAGATATTCGTCTGTTAATGCATTAGATTGGAAAATCAGTTATTTCAATAAACAACGGGCCTCGCTCCCAAAGAATTTGGGCCAAAAATAACCGTTTTTTTAAAAAGCAACGTATATAATACTATATGCTTCAAATGTGCTCATGTTTTAACTTTTCTAATACTTTTAAACTTTTTGATGGATTTGGAGTGGTAATGGCGCCAGAGAGAGGCTTATATTGAAACAGGCGAATGAAGTTGAAGACTGATGACGTTTCCCGACAGAGATTTCTGCGGTAAGGGGAACGACAATCTTGCAGAGAGCCTTGCAGAATCCTCACAACCTTCAGCCACGGTTTAGAGTCCTCGTGTGCCACCAGCCGTCTTTTGAATTATGTCTTTGGCGGCATTCTGCTCGATCAACATTTCATTGATAAACACCCTCAGTCTCAATATACGTATTTCATTTCCTTCGTGGCATTGTTTTCATTCCTCTATGTTTTTAACTCTTTCGAGAACTACTCAATCGTACCTTTCTAGTATATTAGTAGGTATATATATAAAGTGATAGTAAAGTATAGTGAGTAACGTTCGACTGGCATGAAGAAGGTCATGAAAATGAATATCTCGAGATGCAAATAAATGATATCCATGGAATAATAATGTTTTAAATGCTTTTAAGTCTTCTATGCATACTATACACCTCCCTTATATATTTAAAAAAAATAAAAATTGGGCAAATCAACCATAATTTGCAATGAATAAGAGTGAGTAATATTACACCCTATTGGAAAATATTAAATTGGCAAAAATCACCTAGTGAGGTAATTCACTCCTGCCGTACCTGGTACTTTGGTTTAGTTAGTCCTTTATTTACCACCCTGGTACAACAAACAGGGTTCTGCTGGGCAAGCTGGTGGTACCTTTTGATTGCATGGTCAGCATATCGGTAGTATACATTGTAGCTCATAACATTATTACGATTCTATAATATATCCTTTAAAAGAAAAGGACAATCACAGTAATATTCTTCTCCTCCGAATCGTTAAGGCTTGGGGCGGTGAAAGCTAATGTACATTTGATTCATGTGGTCATTGTGATAACTTAACATTTCCAAATTTTGGATATAACAAATATATCTCCAAGACTATGATATCGTAGTTTACATAGTTCTCCATACCTCATGCTAGGTGGTCTGAAAGGGTATTTATATGGCACTCTGAAATATAATGTACGTCTTCGCTTTTATTCTTAATTGGCATAATTTACAGTTTCTCTCAACATTAAGGCTATACCAATCTACTATCCCAGCCTGATTCTTGCTGTCGCAATTATCACACTGACGTTCTTGTTTTGTATTAAACCATAGATGAATACATCTGCATAAGCCGGCATAGTGCTTTAAGACTAACAGCTTTTCAGCCGTGAGAATTAATCAAGACAAGTCTCTCTTTTGAAGGAAGTTTACTCATGTGTGAAAAATCCTAGCAAAAGGTACCTCCAAGATCTATATCCCACGCTCCTTGCTTGTCACTTGCTGACCTTTGCTAGGAGCGTCAGCATGATATCATCCTGGGAATTCCAACATGCGATGGTATACCACATCAAAACGATACCCATTGGCCTCGTTCTTTTGCACGAAGATAACACATTTCTCATTATGTCATTTGCAATATCTCCCTGCACCCTCTTTTTAATAATATATGCCTCCTCCTCGAGGAGAGCACTCTGTGAGTCGCAGAAAAAATGACTCCTGAGCCTTGACTTAATAGAAATTCGTGACTATGAGCATTCCTGCCAAAACTGTTTGCGTGTGCTAGCCAGTCATTGAACCCGCCTACAATCCTGCGTGCTGCAAATATTGCTCCCTACATACGACAAAAGCGCATCCTGCTCTACTCCCAGACTTGCAAGGATCCATCAGTGTGTAGCATTCATACGCATTGGGCATAGTTTCAAGGTGCTCACATTGAAGTTGCTGAAGCATACTGCTTAAGTACAGCAGGGGGGGGGGGG